TGTATTCCGTTAGTAAAACAATGTGCTCCATGGATTACTGTCCCGCTCGAGAAAAGAATGGACAATCACCTAAAGTAAAATTTAAACCTCTCAGCAGCATGCTTACATGCGAACTCCCAGGTATCTAACCCAAGACATTTTTTAGATAGAAAGCACAGAACAGGAAATATCATACATACATTGTCTTAACTTCTGAAGTTTCTGATCGTTGGCAGTGACAATAAGTCTTGCTTGTATACATTGCCTATTTCTCATAGGGTCCCAGCAGTTGTTAAATTCTTATATTTATATTCATAGGGGAGGCTACTACCCTGGATGTTTTCACCCAGGATTTTCTTGCAGGTGGCATTTAGAGGTCTTGCTCTTTGGAGAGATTTTGGAGAGGTCTTGATTTTTGGAGAAAAAAAAATGTTACGTTTCAAGGAAAAATTGTGGAATGAAACATTCATGTCACACTACAGCCATAACTCTCATCTAATTTCAAACTAGCTCACTTTTTATATATTTTGGCATGTTTGCATTGGTCCCTTGTTTATTTTTAACAAGCAATGCTTACACGGGGTTTTTCATCCATTTCTCCAATGCTACACCACTTTTAACTGATCCATCAATGAATACCTGCAAACAACAAATCCTGCATCCCTTCTTATGTGTAGTCCTTGTTCTCAGCCTGCAGACCACCATTATAATAAGAAGGTAGAGAATATAAATGTAGAAGAGAGGGTTTTGGCATAAGCTCCCAGGTACAGTCCCTTCATTATTGCTGACTTGCTAAATGACCTTGCTCAAATCCTTCTTGTGTGCCCCAGCTTCCTCATCTATTTGGGAATGATAACATTCACTCTCCTTTAAAACGATCCGATCTATCGGATCTGTTAACTGTTATGATTAGAAAAACAGCAGTAGGGAGGATCCACCTTCAAGAGAGGGGAGCGACCAACCTAATAGTGTCCCTTTTTGCAAAAAGATACTGGATTTGTTGCCAGTCCAGCCTTACTTCCAGTAGCAATACTCACTGTGATGATCTCACGTTGAATTATAGGAAGGTGCCTTCTGTCTGGCACTTACGGAAATGACTAGCTGTGTTTTGACTCTCTCTTCGTTAGACACCTCCCACCTCAGTGTTTGTTTTGGCACCAATTGGTTTAGGGACCCAGTCAGTTTTCTCTATTTGGCTGTTTAACACTGGTACCTTCCTACCCGTGCCCTGTTACCGTGACTTACACAGCAAGCTGTTTACCTTGGTACGGTTTGCAAATCAGCCCTTCCTGTGCAGCTGTTTACAGTATGTGATGAGGAGTAGATAATAGTGCAATATTTTCCATGTATATAGTCCACTGACGCATTTGGTTTACAGCCGTTATGATGTTGTTTCTTTATGCTCTATATAGATCATTTTTCTGAGGGGGTTGCTTTTGCTGGAAGCAGCCACTAATTAATGTGTAGTTAAGAAACAGTCTGCTGTAAACACACACACACACACACACACATACACAAAATTTTCTGATTGAGAAAATGTTATTGTCTTGCTGTTTTCTCTGCAAATTGCATGCGGTGTCTTGAATAAAAAGGGGAAGCTTTATTGCATTGGGTTTAGTCTCACTTCTGAAGGAGCGAGGCTGACAAGAACAGGCATGTGTGGGCATGATCCCACCCGTCTCTTTGCTGGCAGGTTGGTCAGTCCTCCTCATCGCTAACTGTTGCATCTGTGCCTTGTCAATTTAAAGTGCACGAGAGGAAGAAACACCCAAGAGGTCACAAAGCTGGGGAAGTTTTACGACATTAGGTGGCTGTGTGCAGGAGAGAGCCCTGGCAGTGCTCCCACCTGGGCTTGACCATTGATGAAACCAGAGTCCCCTGGCAGCTCAGCCACATCTCACAGTGCCGCAGGGAGCCAGGCTGCTGCAGGCACGTCTGCTGCCCCCTGGAATGACTCCTTTTTCTCAGTGCAAAGAGGATGAACCAACCATTTCTCCAAGTAGCCTGCACTTTGTATGGTGAGGAAGCACGGCAGGGGCATTGATGTACCCAGAAGTATTATTTACAGTCACTGAGTGACCACCTTTTCTTTCTGTGGCTTGGAAACATTTGGAAGTCCACTTCTGCCAGGGTCCTGGGGGTGCTCATAGGCCTCAGTGGCTGGGACCGGCCTCCCCCGGGACCCCCACCATCTCCTGCCAAGGGCCCCGGGGGCATGTCTCAGCTCAGCCCGGGGGCCTCAGTCCCTGCTGAGCCATGTTGTGGGTGTGCCCGTCTCTGCCCCTCTCTCCTGGATGAGCCTGGGACCTGCGCTGCAGAGAGCTGCTCTCCTGGATGGAGCCCTCAGGCTTAGGTCACAGCTTGTCATGCAGAACTCTAGGCATAACATAGCATAGCATAACTATACTGTTCTGTTCTGTTCTATTCTATTCTATTCTATTCTCTTCTATTCTATTCTATTCCCTGTGCTCACCATGAGTTGAATAAAGAAGAGACTGTTATTTGCCTGAAATGCCAGGGGTTTTTCAGCTCCAAAACCACTTTCAAGGACACATAACACAAAGGTTACAAGGGGAAACAGGATTTTATTTTATTTTTCTGAATCTGCTTCAGAGCCGATGCTCACAAGCATTAACACAATG